CAAGTTAGTGGCAGAGCAAAAGGTGTTTGAAAGATTTAAATTCAAAACTTCAATCTGTAATAGAAAGGTCGATGTTGGGTATACTTCATGAGACAGCAACCAAACAAATAGCCAAAAACATACAGTATTTTCAACAATAGATATGTGTCTATACAATGTCTCAAAAATGCCATCTTCTTGAAAAAAGTAGTATTGATAAATTTAGATACTACAAAAGATCTGGCATCAACAAAAAAACCCAACATTTTTGTATGACATGAGGGAACCACTGAGAAGGTTCTTGATAGTGTTAACATCATCTGCAAAATAATAATCCATAATAAGAACACTGGTTTTTGACATGCGACAGGCACGTAAACATGTATTGACAAGAAGAAGATTTACCATAATTGCTTCACCAATAAATAGTGTTTATCATTTAAAAAAACAACCTCCTAAAAATACCACTATAAAAAATAAGATAAATCATAATATCTTAAGTTTTTTTTTCAAGATAAAATTCAAATTTAAATCATATTGGTTTCATCAATGAAATTTAAACATCTTTTTTTTTAGCAACAGCCGTATATCAAAATAAGGTTAAGCTTTCTTTAATTAATTGACAATAATATTTTATGGATTCCTGCCCAAAGGCATAGCTACAGTTATGATTACCATATATTCAACTTGCCTCCATGACAAATCAAACACCATAAAAACTACCAGTAGTTATTTATCAACATTAAAAACATTACACAAATCTTTCACAATATAATTTGTTTATTAAAGACCTATTTGTAAACAAACCCTTTCTAACTATATGACATAAATCTATTTTATTTCTAACCATATATCAATCACTCATAATTGTGCTTTTATATAATATACATTTTGTTCTGCACAAGACTTCAATTCTGGACATCAACTTTTGTAGATTTTGGACAACTCATTGATTAATGGGACCCATATTTCAGGTTTTTTTCATTGGCTGATTTTGAAGTACATTTAACCTGACGTATGATTCATGAATTTCAATAAGTTTCATAAAAATGCCACTATGCTCCAAGAGTTATATTAGCGATAATTTAAATAAAGTTAATAAAATGCTCCGCAGGGCGCAGCTTGATACGACCGCAGAGGTCGAACCCTGAACAGTTGGGGCAAGTATGGACACAACATTCAAGCTTGATACAGCTCTGAATTTGGATTGTGATTAAATATTTGACACAGCATAGGTTTCTGACACAGAATGAATGTGGTCTAAGAACTTAAAAATTTTAAATTGGACATTCACCTATTATGGTCCAATATCCAAAATCTAAATACATGGTTAGATTCAGCATATCAAAGAACCCCAAGAATTCAATTTTTGATGAAATCAAACAAAGTTTAATTTTGGACCCTTTTGATCTCAATGTGGACAAAAATGATAACAGGGCCCAAAAATCAAAAATCTAAATACATGGTTAGATTCAGCATATCAAAGAACCCCATATATTCAATTTTTGTTGAAATCAAACAAAGTTTAATTTTGGACCCCGATTTGGACCAACCTGAAAACTGGGCCCATAATCAAAAATCTAAATACATGTTTAGATTCAGCATATCAAAGAACCCTAAAAATTCAATTTTTGTTAAAATCAAACTAAGTTTAATTTTGGACCCTTTGGACCTTTATGTAGACCAATTTGAAAACGGAACCAAAAATTAAGAATCTAAATACACGGTTAGATTTGGCATATCAAAGAACCCCAATAATTCAATTTTTGATGAAATCAAACAAAGTTTAATTTTGGACCCTTTGGACTTCAATGTGGACCAATTTAAAAACGGGGCCCAAAATCCAAAAACTTAATACACGGTTAGATTCAGCATATTACAGAACCCCATATATTCAATTTTTGTTGAAATCAAACAAAGTTTAATTTTGGACCCCGATTTGGACCAACTTGAAAACTGGGCCCATAATCAAAAATCTAAATACATGGTTGGATTCAGCATATCAAAGAACCCCATATATTCAATTTTTGTTGAAATCAAACAAAAGTTTAATTTTGGACCCCGATTTGGACCAACTTGAAAACTGGGCCCATAATCAAAAATCTAAATACATGGTTAGATTCAGCATATCAAAGAACCCCATATATTCAATTTTTGATGAAATCAAACAAAGTTTAATTTTGGACCCTTTTGATCTCAATGTGGACAAAGTTGATAACGGGGCCCAACAATCAAAAATCTAAATACATGGTTAGATTCAGCATATCAAAGAACCCCATATATTCAATTTTTGTTGAAATCAAACAAAGTTTAATTTTGGACCCCGATTTGGACCAACTTGAAAACTGGGCCCATAATCAAAAATCTAAATACATGGTTAGATTCAGCATATCAAAGAACCCCATATATTCAATTTTTGTTGAAATCAAACAAAGTTTAATTTTGGACCCCGATTTGGACCAACTTGAAAACTGGGCCCATAATCAAAAATCTAAATACATGATTAGATTCAGCATATCAAAGAACCCCATATATTCAATTTTTGCTAAAATCAAACAAAGTTTAATTTTGGACCCTTTGGACCTTTATGTAGACCAATTTGAAAACGGAACCAAAAATTAAGAATCTAAATACACGGTTAGATTCGGCATATCAAAGAACCCCAATAATTCAATTTTTGATGAAATCCAACAAAGTTAAATTTTGGACCCTTTGGACCTCAATTTGGACCAATTTAAAAACGGGGCCCAAAATCCAAAAACTTAATACACGGTTAGATTCAGCATATTAAAGAACCCCAAGAATTCAAGAATAAAACCCCATTGAAATTGATCAAGAAATAAGCAATTTATACGAAGTATCTTCTTTTGCACAATACTGTGCAATTGATTATTTCTTGCTATTGCGCAATACTGTACAATTGACAATTTCTTGCTATTGCGCAATATTGTGCTGTTGGATATTTCTTGCTATTGCGCAATACTGTGCAATTGAAGATTTCTTGCTATTGCGCAATACTGTGCAATTGAAGATTTCTTGCTATTGTGCAATACTGTGCAATTGAAAATTTCTTGCTATTGCACAATACTTATTATATAATAATTTACACATCCTGTTTGGTGTGTATCTCCTTCCATATCATTATTATTTACTTTTAAATATAAATCAGAAATAACCAACTTAAAATGGAAAATTTTAAAAGAAAAAAAAAAGGAAAAAAAGAAAAAAAAAAGAAAAAAAAACCCCCCCCCCCAAAATTTTTTGAACCCCCTTATGATTCATCACCCCCAAACTCAATCTCAGCCTTCCCTTTGTGGTATGGTACCTTGCAGTACAATTTCAGAGAGATCCATACACTTGAACACAAGTTATTGTCTGGAAACTAGAAAAATGCTTATTTTTGGCCCCTTTTGGGCCCCCAATTCCTAAACATTTCGGGCAATTACCCCCAAACTCAATTCCAGCTTTCCCTTTGTGATATGGAACCTTGTAGTACAATTTCAGAAATATCCAAACACTTACACACAAGTTATTGTCATGAAACTAGAAAAATGCTTGTTTTTTGCCCTTTTTTTGGCCCCTAATTCCTAACATTTTGAGGCAATTACCCCCAAAATCAATCCCAGCATTCCTTTTGTGATATGGAACCTTGTGGTACAATGTCAGAGAGATCCATACACTTACACACAAGTAATTGTCTGGAAGTTACAAAAATGCTTATTGTTGGCCCCTTTTTGGCCCCTAATTCCTTAACTGTTGGTACCATAACCCCCAAAATCAATCCCAACCTTCCTTTCATGGTATTGAACCTTATGGTAAAATTTCATGGAGATCCATTCACTTAAACTAAAGTTAGAGTGCGAAAACCAATGTGTCTTCGGACGACGCCAGACGACGCCGGACGACGACGACGACGACGACGACGACGACGTCATACCAATATACGACCAAAAAATTTTCAATTTTTGCGGTCGTATAAAAATGAACTAAAAAATCTACAAAATGCTGAAGGAACAATGAGGCTTCCTTCATTTGACTGGGTCCAGTTTTTTAATCTTTTTTTGCCTGGTTCCTAGAGTTCGTACTATCTGTTGACTAAGCCCTCCAGTTCACATTTATCCAGTTGTTGTTCTACCTGTTGACTGGGACCTCCAGTTCACATTTATCCAGCTGTTGTTCTATCTGTTGACTAAGCCCTCCAGTTCACATACATCCAGCTGCTGTTCTATCTGTTGAATGGGCCCTCCAGTTCACATTTATCCAGCTGTTGTTCTATCTGTTGACTAAGCCCTCCAGTTCACATTCATCCAGCTGCTGTTCTATCTGTTGACTGGGCCCTCCAGTTCACATTTATCTAGCTGTTGTTCTTCTGTTGACTAAGCCCTCCAGTTCACATTCATCCAGCTGCTGTTCTATCTGTTGAATGGGCCCTCCAGTTCATATTCATTCAGCTGTTGTTCTATCTGTTGACTGGGCCCTCCAGTTCACATTTATCCAGCTGCTGATCTATCTTTTTACAGCATCTTGGACATCACAGTTGTCCTGTTGTTCAATCTTTTGACTGGGCCCTTAAGTTGCATCCCAGACTTTACAGGTACATGTATCCTTTTGTTGAATCTTTTGACTGGGCCCTGGACTTTATAGCAGTATCTTAAAATCATTCATTTCAACTGCATGCTTCAAACATGGGAAAAATTACATGAAGTGTTGATCGTACATGGGAATAAATATGATATATGCCAGTGGCAAATACATGCATTTCATACATATACGCTTAAGGACTTTCGGATGGCATGGTGACAATTTCTGGCCTATTTCCGGAGTGGAAGTTATTTTTTTACATGTCGTTTGTCAGTATTGTAGGCAAGTTTAGCTGTAGAGAAGTCAAATGAATGTCAAAAAACTTTTTTTAGAAAAAGCATGGTTTCAAAAAAGAGTCCCTTATAAAAAAATTCTTTTGTACAATTACGTTAAATTTGATACAAATAAGTGCACGATCTTATTTTCTGTATTTTACTTACGTCTAGGAACCTCCTCTGTGACAGATTCTAAGAAATCCTGAGGGGTCATATAAATCTGTCCATTGTACTGGACAGAGGCAAACTGTAGGAACCTCATCTCTCTGTAGGTCAAAGATCGTGGTGTTGGCTTCTGACCTGCTTCTTCATCCTTAAAACATGAATTCAAAACTTTTTAAACATGAAGTAAAAGGAAACAATGAATCAGAATCTTAAAGTGGTTGAACCTGTCAATGATAATACCTCAACACTTCTATAGCAACTTGGTCTTAAAAGTTCGAACCCACGATCTCTCTCATTTGAGACGAACACGTTACCACGAGACCACCGAGGCTGTGCTTAAGGAAAAGCTTTTAGTGATTGCACTGAAAATTACCAATTTCTTATCATTTTTTATTCTATAAAAACAAACTTTGGGGTCTGAGCCTATTTTAATTAGGGTCGGGCAACAGGAAACATACGTTTTTTTTTTGGCCTTATTTACAACTTTTTTGGCAGATACTTTTTCTGTTTATGTATGTATATTTGTTTCTGTTTCTACTAACTTGGATTATATACCATATATTCATATATGAAGTAAATATACAAGTTTTGAAATTCTTTGTGATAATCTGCAATGTGTATTCATGTTGTTTTCTACTCACCAAACATTTTAAAGTGGCATAAAAATATATCTTGCAAAAATTAGTCGGATCACAGAATGCTGAATGATTAATGCAATGCATCAAAATTTCATCTTAATAAAAGCAATGTAATGACCCAAAACACAAAATGTGTCAGTAGTCTTAACCTGTCCCAATGAATAATTATTTAAATGAGAAATTTAATTTAACTGATATGCATTTTGTCATTAAGTACATGTTTATACATTATATCATATAATACAATTTAGATATGAATTGAAATTGGTGAATCTGAAAACTAATTTTTATGTTGACACAAAAATTGTAATAGTTAAGTATACTTATAAAAAAGTACTGAAATCTGACAACATAATTTTGTAGTTGTTCAAAACAAATACAAGGTACAAAGGACAAGAGTAAACTAGATTCCTCATTATGTCAATGAAATTCATGGGAAAATAAGACATTGGTTTTTTTTACAATGACTTGTCAAACAGTCAATAATCTTATCTTTTGACAAATATTCAACTGTGAAAAACCTTGTCTCTTTGTAATCTAACGGACAAAAGCATTTATCTGTGTGTATATCAATTGATGAGCGAATTGATAAATCTAAAGTTGTCTTAGTACAACATGGCATAATCAACAAATTTCATGAGAATTTTGAATATGATACAAGTTTATTATTATTCTTATTCAAGAACCAGACATATTTCTCTCAATAAAGCTTTATACTGTACATAGGAAACATTGACAGCCAAAGAAAAGTAAAGACTGCGGGTATGTGTGGTATGTCACCATATATTACTATGATTATGATGATCAAAATGTTGTTACATTACACCAATGACAACTCCTCAAGTCTCCAAATCTGATATACAACAATACATGCACTTTCTCAGAATATAAGTTGATCAGAGATGCATTGTTCAGATTTTGTTTTAAATAATGATTTAGAAACGGGTAAACATTTTATTGTGGTTACAATGTGAACATGTTCATGATGTTATGTACAAAAATGTATATATATATATATAGATGTATGCATAGGAATAAATGGCAATAAAACATCTTCTATATAATGCAGATTGACTTCTGTCAGTGAACCAATCAAAGTCTTCTTTTTATCTCAAAAACAGATACATGTTTACAAGAACTATTGCTAACTCTCAATGTGGTGTTACATGTACAGATACATGTTTACAAGAACTATTGCTAACTCTCAATGTGGTGTTACATGTAAATAATCACCTGGTTATATATTCATATACACTGTAAAAGGGAATGGGTAGATGACAAACTTCTGTTCTGAACTTGATTAAAAATGTGTGTTCCCTTCATATTCAATGTCATTTTGTGTGCATATTCTACATTTTTATAGTCCAAAATTAGATATTACATGTCATGAATATGTATTCCCTTCACAGAACAGTGATGAGAACTGTTTAATAATTATGTTATTTTTATGAATTTTTTTAATGATTACAAGAGGCTCTAGATGAAGAGTTGGTGTTGCTCACCTGGATCTATGTGCATCTTCAACATTAGCCAACATGAATGACTAAAATAGAGTTTTTGATGTATTGCTGTTCATTTTTTCATTGTACAGTTGCTCTCTATTAATTATAGTTCTTGAAAAAAACATAAAATTAGGTAAAAATCATCTTTCAAGGGCAATTATAACTCCTAGAAGAAGTGGACTAATAATTTCTGCTTCTTTTCAGCTTCTATAGTTTTTGCACTCCCAAACATGCTATAAGAACTCAACTCACAATTTCATATATATATATGTTGATCATATATGTTTTTTTAAAATTCCTATCTATCTTTTTATGTTTTCAAGATAGGCAAAAATGCAAACAAAATAATGAAAAACGTTATTTAAGGGCACTATTAAATGACTCCTATAAAGAGTCAACTAATGATTTCAGGCTTGTTGACGGACTTGTAGATTTCCTCTTGCTGATCATTTTTTCTATCTTAAAATGCAAATTACTCTTTTTCTACAAATCATATTAAAGTTTTTAAGATAATACATGTATGCAAAACTTGGAAAAAATTGGTCAATTAAGGACATCAACTCCAATAATGGTCGTCTGGCAGTTTTGATGTAATAGGACAGTAGGTAAAACTCACCATTTCTGCCCAGAGAAATTTTCTCTGTGTCTAATTGGGTTTGATGCTTTTTATTTACATTCTATACATTTTTATCAAATTCTACATGAATTAAAAAGGTCAAAACCATCGTGAATACTGCATAATAATGCATGCTTCATATCATATCAATGACATCAATTAACATTCAGATACATTAAAGAAATACAGCTTTTAAAATTGTCCATCTCTTGGGAGTTTAGCTTGATCAGCTACATTTTTTTGCATTTCTGACTATAAAATATGTACCATCAAAACAATAAGAGTTACTTCCCTTTGCATGTATTCTGCTTTACCAAAAGGTTTATAAAATAGTTCAAGAAACTCATATTTCCTGATAATTCACTCGATCGTTCACCTGATTACTGTATCTTTAAATTAATAATTCCAAACTAAGGTTATTTCCTGGAATTGTGAAATATGTAAGTTGACAAGTTCAGACAAACTTCTTTTAGTTGAACTTTTATCCAATGAGAAATATATGAGGGCACAAGATCTTTTTATAGCTTCCTTCAGAATATTCTAATATATTAAGGACGTAAATCCTTCATTAATGATAAACGTTTACGTCTATTGAATATGTTTCCACTTTAGAAGTAACATTGGTTGTTTCTACTCTTAAATATAGTGGAAGTCACACAAATTTTCTTACCTCTTTCGCCAGTAAAATGGGTATGACACCTCTTGTTTTGTACTTTTTATGCCACTGGTAAAAAGAAACAAATGCTGCAGTTGTAAAACCTGTTGCCACAAACGATAATGGGGTACTACGTTTTCCCCTAAACCTTGAAAAGTTTCTCAAAAGTGTTTTGTGCGCTTTACAACTCTGCATTAGTTGTGAGGGCGATCTAAGAGCCGCCATATTGCAATTTAGAAAACCTCTTGGGCGCATGCGCCATACCTGTTCACTGTCAGACCTACCAGCTGATCGTATAGTGTAGACAAGACAAAAACGGTTTAATAGTTTTTTTCAAAAGTGAACTGTAAAACTTGGAATTTTAAATGTGATTTTTAAATATTTCATTTGGACGGAGTTAATCATTTATTGAGGACAAGGTATTTGTTTTATATAATTAGTTACAATAGTTTAATTTCCCATTTAACGTTTTCTTTTCAGTCTTATAAATATTTCATTCATTCCTGGCCGGTTAGGTCTCAATACTAATTTTGCGCTAAGTCGATATGTTATTGTTAGAGACCTTGCTGCTCTTTATTGCAAAATTGATATTATGCATGTTTTATAAAATGAAACTTGTAATGAAGGTAGGCGTTTTCTAGCAATATAAAAATTTCTAGGTTTTATCAAGGTACTTTATATCTAGGACCTGAAGTTAAAAGTTGTGCAGTGTATGTAAAATTTTTACCTACAGTTATCACCTGACTGATTTGAACAAATATTTTAACGTGGAAATTCGTTCAAGATAAATGATTTCATTTCTGCAACACTTCAGAATTTACACGATCACATTTTCCTGAACTAGTGTATGGTTATAACCTGTTGAAATATATCGTGGTTGTATTGTTAAGTCGTGTTATATTCCATATTTGAGCTATTGTATTATCTATGTTATAAATGTTTAATTTTCTAATCATTGTACTGATTTTGCCCATAATGTGTCCTCTATTTGAAACGAATTATATCTTATCTAATATCTTCTTCTCCGTGTTTTTTTTTATTATTATTATTAAAAAAGTTTGTAATTGTAACATTGTCAAAATGCATCACAGGGAATCTGTGTTAGGAATTTATTGAAATTTCCCGTATTCGATCTGTATTCCGACAAGGTATATTTATGATCTATATGAATTTGACCTTAAAATGATCATTGTGTTCCTCGAGGAATATGTGTATGACTACTAATGAAACAATTTATGGCTATGTTATGTGTTTTTAATAAATCTTTCCATTTTATCGTTGTACGTGTATGCTTTCAGGAAAATGTTTTATTGTTTATATGGATTGATCATAGCTTCGACAACTTTTAAAACAATTATAATAATTATTATCATTAATCTACTGGAATGCTTGTGTTGAATCGCGTTTCCAGTTTTCCTTTATAGTTGGTATTTTATGATATTCTATATGATACCATATAGTGTTTCTGCCTAAATTCAAATGTTTGACTTCAAATTTTTTTTAAATCTAGTAAAGCTATGAAGTGCTACTTGACCCGTGAACCTTCTGTTTTTAAGCAAAAATTTACAACAATATATATCGTTAGGTTGTTCGTCGGAAACCGTTAGATTATGTATTATTGGACGGAAGTGGGATGCGCCAATCAATAGATAATGTTATGTGAGCTGAAAGCCTACTCGTCCCTCTCTGATTCATAATTTAATATATATAAATATCAAATTTATGTTTTTTTATTTTGCAGAGAAACTGACCAATCAGTGGATTTAGTCGCATTTGAAATGATAATGTTGTGACAAGTTACTACTATGTTCACGTGTGGGATGTGATGCTTACCTAAATTCTTGATGGAATATATTTATCAGATTCCGATCCTAGAAAGTGAAAATAAAAATAAAAATTGGATAATTGTGTATTACCATAGGATTATAAATGTTTGCATCCGACACATATGTCCATATGCACAGTCATTACGTGTTGGGTTCCTTAAGCAATGAACTCGCATGTCTTTCTAAAACTCGGAGTAGCATATAAGGCAAACTTGAAACATATCTTACCAATAATCATATTTAGTGTTGTATTTTCTGGAATATTCACCATGTCAAATAGTGCTCCTATAAACAGTGGACCTTTTAATTTACCAAACGATTTTTCTTTTCATTCAAGTAGAAATATGTCTGACGTTTTAGTTCCAGGAGATAAAGACACAAAAGAACAAACATACTTATTTTTACATGCAAATAACAATATGTGGTTAGAAATTTTAGAAAATGGAATAGTGAAAGCTAACACTTGTCCAACTATATACGGTAAGTTTATTATTTCTTTATACTTTCTTCGCTTTGTTTAGGAATTGAGTTTTACCTAATGTTCTCTTTTTATCTCATAGAGTCTGAAAAAGATTTGATGCAATATGATCTTTTTCATATAAAAAAAGCTTTACGTTTCACTCATATGTAGTGAAGGGCAGAACTCGAAGTCGTTTGGAGCCAATTCAATTAAGGATCCATCATTAATTAATTAATGTTTCGGTTAAGTTAATTTTAAATTCTAATTTGTACGTTAGCAGGCGACAACTCCAGAATAACTTCCCTTAATATCCGATTATAATCCAATTAAAATTTTTGAGATGATTCGACGAAACTTGTTCTATAAATCTGAACACGAGACGAATGTTTTTATAATAATTTAAGAAAAATAAAAATACGTCTTGTGAAAAGATTATCGTAATTTGTTAATTAGTTTACAAATTAACGCTGTCTGCTGTTAATCGCTATCAGGTAACTGGTAATGTCATTAAGCTTTAATCATCTCTTGTTTATTTAACCATACATTCCTGGGGGGTTCTCGTTAAATACATCGTTATTTTACACTGCAATACAAAGTATGCACAGTATGTGTTGAAACTAATTCAATTAAGTCTGATGTCTTCTTGTCATTGAAGTCGAACACACCTTTTCGCGGTAAAAAATAAAATATTCTATACAAGTAGTTGTGAAATCAATCTATGTCAATTTTTACTTTACTGCATGCCAATAAATTTCATTTTTTTAAGTCAAGAATTTTGACAAATCACCTATGCTAGAAATTTCAGAAACAATTCATAACTCAACTTAGATTGTAAACTGTGTGTAAATTTTAATATCAATTGTTTTGAGGGATTCTATAACGTAACCATAGGTCATCTAGTTGGTCGTGGTTTGGTCAACCATCGGGTGACCACTTTTAAATTCACTTTTCAGAATTCGTGTTTTATAAAAGTCAGTAAATGATAAGTTCACAGGTAACTCATAATGTAAAACGTGCACGGGGTTAAAGAGTTTACTTCCATAGACATAATATAAGGCAGAGAGCACATGTTATATCAATTATCTAATGATCGTAGTAAATACTTGACCCTTGTCGAAAACCTCGGATAGTGTACTCGTCTATAATGAAGCATTGTCAATAATGTCAATATATGATAAACATATGTAATATAATATCTCACCATATCTTGTTTATGATAAAAATTTATTGCAGGTGGCTTGTAATTAAACTATTCCAGGATCTTATAGTACTGTTACACGAATACACAAACTCAATTGTCTTTTAATTCTTTCATGCCGGCAGAACATGTCTTGTAGCTTTATAATAAAAGAATGAATGTACTATTAACGCATTGCTATACAAACATGTTAAAGATACAAACTTTGCAAGTTTAAATTTGCCTAGTTTACATTGTTTCAAATAATTGAATTTGGAAAGAAATTTGCGTTTTATCTTGTTTTTCTTCATTTGATACTAACCAGACGAAATTTGAACCTCTCATTGACAACATTTAAATTAACAAAAGAATTCAATTGAATTTATTAATAGACCAGTTAAAATGTTTAAACCAATACTTCCAAGGACTGATCTGTTTTAAATTATCTGTTATCTGCCATTTCCAGAAACAAACAAAATCATTGAGGTGCTTATTCACGAAAGATTATCCCATCAGATTAGCTTTCACGCATTAAGTGAGAAACTTTATTTAAGAATTTGTGTAAGTAGATCCGAATTTCACGGTCTTGATAGGATTATCTTCATTCAATATCTATCGCTTTATAATGTTGACCAAAATAAAAGTCTTCTCTTTGGTAAATATGTCATACTCAATACTTTTTGAGAGTGAACATAATATAAACAAATTTAATTTGTTTAGATAATTCATAAATAAGTCCATGCAAAATCCCATCTGAAAGTTATTGTTCAACGCAAAATCATCGATATATGCTCAAAAGTAAAAAACAAAAAAATCTAAATCCATTGGATGTACATGTATACTGATTGATATTTTCGTCTAGGATACATTATTTGTTATTAGTTGATATTGGCTTTGAACTAGCTTTCAGCAAATGCTACTACTCTCAGATAGATACTTTGTGTCTAGTCTTTTTTATAGTTGAGTTTTTTTGTGTGTGTGCTTTGTGTCGATGTGACGAGTCAAGCCCTATTCAACTGATTTTTATAGTTTTTATAGCTTATTCTTATGTTGTGTTGTTACATCACTGTCCCAGGTTAAACTAAAGGGAGGATTGAGCTCGGAAACATATGTAGCCCTGCCGCAATATGTATTTGCTTTTTACAAAGCAGGAGCCTGTAATTCATTGGTTGTCGTTTGTTGCTGGAGCCTGTAATTCAGTGGTTATCGTTTGTTGCTGGAGCATGTAATTCAGTGGTTGTCGTTTGTTGCTGGAGCCTGTAATTCAGTGGTTGTCGTTTGTTGCTGGAGCCTGTAATTCAGTGGTTGTCGTTTGTTGCTGGAGCCTGTAATTCAGTGGTTGTCGTTTGTTGCTGGAGCCTGTAATTCATTGGTTGTCGTTTGTTGCTGGAGCCTGTAATTCATTGGTTGTCGTTTGTTGCTGGAGCCTGTAATTCAGTGGTTTTCGTTTGTTGCTGGAGCCTGTAATTCAGTGGTTATCGTTTGTTGCTGGAGCCTGTAATTCAGTGGTTATCGTTTGTTGCTGTATATCATATATGTTTACTGTTTTTACATAAATCAGGTTGTATGGTGACCTGTAGCTTCTAACTTCTACGTCATTTGAACTCTGGTGGAAAGTTGTCTCAATAGCAATGATATCACATCTTATTTTTATACCAATCAATGAAGAATACCATGTTTGACAAGAGTAGTTGATATCTTTCCCTTCGACCAAGCTTTTAGTTTTCATCGCAGACCGGATTTATTCTGTTTAAATCCTGTCTTAATCCTATTTAATCAAGTATACTTTCTAGCTATATTGCTAAATAAAGTCAAAACCATAGGATTGGATTAGAGTCATTGTATGAACAAAACATTTAACACTAAAGTATTTAATCTTTATCTAGACGATAAAATATTCCCATTAAGTTTTCTTTATTCCTCAATTTCTTACACGAATTAATGAATTCGGGATAAAAGGATTGACCCCATGTTTCTATTTAGGTGTGTAATGATTTCATTATCAGATCAAAGAGTTACATGTTCAAATTAATTAGTTATCACTAATACAGTCAATTATTAATGGAAATCCTTAGATTTTAACATGTAGGCGTAAAACTTTACTCAGATAGTGGATATTTTGAGCTACATTATTTTCTTATTTTGATAAGTAGAAAATACTGTGACAACACATTTTTTTTGTCCATCTTCAAATGATATACGATTCCACATGGACATTTTAACATAATTAACATCTACAGAAAAGCTACCCCAGACCACTATGTGGTATACCATTGATCCATTGCCCATTGATAGACAATATTATTCTATATACAATGTTGCTTAAACGAATACAAAAATATAACAGAAGCAAAAATGTATATGATATATTCGCCAACTAAGACGTATCAGCACACACAGTCTACATGCATCTTATTCATATTATAACTTTAGTGTGAAAACGTTTTTTTTTTTAAATTCAGGTGCTTTAGAAAGTGGAAGTCATTCCGTGAAATTAACATCTAATGGTAACATGAAAGATGTAAAGGAAGTGGCGGACAATGCCGCCGTGTATCTAAGAGGTGTCGAAGCTGGAAAATACTTGTGTGTGAGGAGAACTGGAGAGGTTTATGCGGTAAGATTATTATTATACTTTTATTATTATTATTAGTATTACTATTATTATTATTATTAATTTGTTAAGTAATGGCATACATATAAAGGGGGAACGATTTCTTATGATATACCACTGACGGTTAGGAGGAAAAGCAGACTGATGAAGCTTGTTTGTACGTTTTCTATAAGACGACGAAGTTGGTCTGTACGTATTCTATAAGACGACGAAGTTGGTCTGTACGTATTCTCTAAGACGACGAAGTTGGTATGTACGTATTCTATAAGACAACGAAGTTGGTCTGTACGTTTTCTATAAGACGACGAAGTTGGTCTGTACGCATTCTATATGACGATGAAGTTGGTCTGTACGTATTCTATAAGACGATGAAGTTGGTCTGAACGTATTCTATAAGACGACGAAGTCGGTCTGTACGTATTCTAAGACGATGAAGTTGGTCTGAACGTATTCTATTAGAGTGTTTTTGTGATTGATAATTGCACTCAATAAAAATTGTGAATAATTAAGAAACATTATGGCATTGTAGATTCTATTGAACATGTAGAATGTATATTTATATTAGTATTACGAAAATTTACACGGACACTTATTTTCTGCATTATTAAGGCCAGAATATACCAGAAAAAAACCTAAATATTTATTGATGTAATATACAGACTTCACGTTGAAAACGGGTGGGGATACGACCAGCATTAATTTTAAGTGATTCCTATTTATTTTTCAGTCTAAGGAATATGACGAAACAGATTGCGCTTTTGTACAGAAACCGCAGTTTGAAACAAACGGCGGGAAATATCATTATTTCAAACATCTATATTATTCTAGTACATATAAAAGAGTAAGAAAAGGGAGAATGAGAAACCATAAAACAGTGCGTTTTCAATTAGGATTTATGGAGAATGGAACAGTGTTCGTTGTTCAAAGACACACACAAAGGAGAGACAAACACAAACCAATGTTGAGTATAAACAGAGCGATTAAAGAAATGCCAACAAACACTTCTTGTGCAACTCAAATTAATCCTCCAAAAAAACCAAAGTTACGGTTTAAATTCTGTCGGAAAGTGTGGAGAAACTATTTCAGGTCTTCTATAAAGGATATAAGGCGATTTAGAAAATACAATTGTTGGGACAAATTACGAAAAATGAGAAAACCAAATCCAGAGATTACAAGTGATACTGGGTGAAGCTATATACAATTTTTATAGGTTTTTCAAATTCTTGTCTCAAAACACAGAACGGTGCAAAACTACGTCCTCAGCGGCCAAATAATATGCCGCCATTGCAGAAAGAGGAAGCCGTGGTTGCGCATGAGTTGATATTCCAGAGGAACCATTTACAGTATTTGTTATTTATTTGACACGAGTACATTGACAGCGTCTCTATTCTATTATCTGTGATCAAACTAGCCTTAGTATGTTACTCCAACAGTCTCAATATCATCTTCATGATATCTCATTGTTTTTGTAAATTGTTTACTCATTTATCATCCGGGACATTATGGACAATTCCTTTTTTGGATATTGTAATATTTAAAGAAACCAGTGCAATAAAATGACTGAAATACAGGAATACCAAGATGAAGGGTTAAATACCTGAACAGAAGTATTAATACTTCTATAGACAATTGGTTAGGTCATTCTTGTGGATGATTTTTTTGAATGAAAGTCTGAATTCAGTATAATGAAATTGTGCATTCGTTTCATGCATAAACATGTGCACGATGTGAATTACTAAGAAACATTGATACACTTAACAAATGATTGTAAATATATTTATAAACAGCATTTGATCATATACATGACTTCCCTGTAAGGGTTTATAAAGATCTGAACTGTCCACTGATTAACAGGGGAAAATAATTAACCAATATTTGACACAGCATCTATTTCTGATGTCTATCAACTGTGTTCTCTATCTAACTGGGACCAAATGCAATACATCATTATCTTTGTTTAACTTGTATTTGCTTGTGTCATTTCTTGTTAAAAAAAAAGTTTACCTCTTTTGACACATGTATTGTTTTTAACGCTTTTGAAAACTTTTCCGACAAAATTCAATGTCAAAATGAGTCGGAACAAAATAATATTTACTAATTTGAATAGATGTCATTAGCATGGGACGAACAGACACTATCCACATGTCTCCGTTTATAATCAACTTCGAGATGCTATATAAACTTTTGTACATTCCATATCAGTTTCTGACTTCTCGTTGATATTGATAAGCATATTTCTCCTAACTGTTGCTTTGTATGACGTTGTCTTAAAGTTGCTTAGAAAGCATTATATTCAATTTTTGGTGCTATATGTCCGTGTATAGAGTTAGAAACTTCAATTTATTTATTTATATAATTAAAAAGCCAGTGTCAGGTACATGTATCTGAGTACAGGCAGTTCTATAATACTCTCGTACACTTTGCTTGTTACGTTGAACAAATTAACAAAACAAATATTTTTCGTTGACTATTCAGGGACATAATTTTTGTATAATTTTGCCATTCACTTTATAATATTTCTTATGTTGTCTTTCATTAAACACGAAAGTCATGTGACATGTGCTACTGTCAATTCATGTGAATTTATTTTGTGATAATTTATCATAAAACTATTTAAAAATACACAAAACAAAAAGTATTCAATATTATATTGTTCGTCAATAGCATCAAACCAATGTATAACCCTTGATAGAACAGACCGATTGAAATTATAGCCCATCCTAGACTAATCAGGAAGATTGAAATTGTGGACCAATCCTTAATTGTAAAAAAAATGGACCTTAGGAGCCATGTAAAACCATGTCTTCAACCTTTTTACATAAGTTGTGGCTCGGCGTAGCTCTTGTTAGTTTTGCAAGAATGGGTATTATCGGATGAATAGATGTGCATGAGACAAAAACCCGAAAGGAAAAGAAATACAGCTTTTCTTCATATTGACAATTGTTGGAAGACCTTTAACGGTCCCCTAAAGAATTTGCATAGCGACTACATTTGAACGTATATTTATTCCGAATTACAATCACATTGGTGGTTAAGAGGTAGTGATTGGTTTTTATTTGGTAATTGCTGCTTCTCCACTAAGCACAGCAATATAGGAGAATGAACATATATATAATGATTGACACGGAGTCGGAGTAGGATGACATATCTTCCTGCTTTTACTGTTGTAAACTAGCATGTTTACCGACTCAGAGTCGGAGTATAGTGACATGTCTTCCTGCTTTTACTGTTGTAAACTAGCATGTTTACTGACTTAGAGTCGGAGTAATGTGACATGTCTTCCTGCTTTTACTGTTGTAAACTAGCATGTTTACCGACTCAGAGTCGGAGTATAGTGACATGCCTTCCTGCTTTTTCTGTTGTAAACTAGCATGTTTACCGACTCGGAGTCGGAGTATTGTGACATGTCTTCCTGCTTTTACTGTTGTAAACTAGCATGTTTACCGACTCAGAGTCGGAGTATAGTGACATGTCTTCCTGCTTTTTCTGTTGTAAACTAGCATGTTTACCGACTCAGAGTCGGATTTTAGTGACATGTCTTCCTGCTTTTACTGTTGTAAACTAGCCTGTTTACCGACTCAGAGTCGGAGTATAGTGACATGTCTTCCTGCTTTTTCCGTTGTAAACTAGCATGTTTACCGACCCAGAATAGGAGTATAGTGACATGTCTTCCTGCTTTTACTGTTGTAAATTAGCATGTTTACCGACCCAGAGTCGGAGTATAGTGACATGTCTTCCTGCTTTTACTGTTGTACACTAGCATGTTTACCGACTCAACGTATCTGTCGAAGCAGAGTTCATATTCATATCAACAGCTGTTCTCGTCCTGATATTTATGTCTGATATTTGTCACTGGCGGTTAAACACAAATATACCCGTTTATTTTCAGCCGTATCTTTTTTCAGTAGTTAATTATATATATATATATATACCATAATGCTAGTTATGATTTTTCATGGTTAAGGAACAAGTATTTCATACCTTTTATTCAGCTAGGAATATCTATTACAACATTTTCAAGAAATTCTATTCGTCAATACGTATTTCTTGGAAAGAACATGCGAAGTAGTAATATATACACACTAGACTGGGGGTGATTGTTATTGTATATATACCCGTCGATTGTTTAAGGCCATACGTTCTGTCTCATTGGTATATACCCAAATCCATATTTTCATAATTTAAACTGGTTTTAATATGAATAACAATATTGAACAGCAACCCAAAAAAGACTAAAAAGACCGGATTTAAAAAAAATCTTCTTACATGTTCTACCAAAGTGATCAATAACGAACTTTATAATGATAACAACTGCAAACAAGTTACAGGATATCATTATCACCTCTGGCTAGGAATCTTGTTAAAAAAAGATGGAAATAAGCAATGAAAAGGAACCAACTGTGTCACATCCCGGCATTTTATAATTTAGTATACGGTATTGGTATTGATCATTGTTGAAAGCCTTACGTTGACCATCTTCGCCTGCCAATGTATACGATCCGCTACCCCTCCTCCTCTACATGTAGCTGTACTTTTGAAACCTTACATTTATAGACTAATGTCTTAGAAGTGCACCAATACTTAACTTCTTTGCTATGAAAACAAAATTAACTCTTCTGCATAGCTTGATGGTTTTTTTATAGCTGATGACTGGTATGTAAATTTGTCTGAGATCAATAGTCACGGTATTTCATCTCGCTATTTAAATGTAGAAAAAGTCGCACAAGAACTCATTTATATTCATTAAAATTTAACAGACCTATCATTATTGACCAAAAATAAAACGAACAGAATGGTCGATAAAATAAATGTCATAGTTAAGGGAGTCTGCTGTTGTTGTAAATATTAGATTGCGTTTGGCATCGTATTATAGTCACGTGATTATAGTGAGGAATCAGAGGTTGCATATGGTAAAATATTCTGTACAGAAATGGATTCCAAAACAAACAAAATTGATGAAGAATGTTTTTTCATTTAGTTAAAAAAACATCATTAGAGTGCAATTTAAAAAGTCTGCACATACATGTATCAGAAGAGGTCACTGATTGCTTGGCCTTCATTATGTTTTGGGAACATAACCCATTATTGCCCATATACGGCTACACTAAAGTAAATGAAGACCGATTGCGTAGAGTACAAGTAATATAATCTGATTGTCAAAGATCTGCATGGAGTCAAAATAGTTAAAAACTTAAAAATACACAAGATTCCTAAAAACTCACTAAATAAACAATAAGACTAAAAATAAACACAACGACACGTAAAAACGTACTTTATACAATATTTATCATATACACAATAAGACAAAAGATTAAGACAAGACTCAATAAGACTTGTGCTATACACAGCGATATCCCTTAATACTAACCAAACGCACAATAAATCTAAAAAAAAATACACAACAAGACTCCAAACTTTGATAGGATATCGTGCTCAAGCTTTAAACGACTTCAGCCGTTTTAACATGATAGTGCTATTGTGAGCTAATGAATTGTTCTTACAAGTATTTATAGAATAGATCAATTAGAGCTGCATATATATTGCTGACAGACACATTTAATGAGAAGTGATACCAAGTCTAACGATAACAGATAATATGGCCAGAATAAACAGAACAGAATTGACCCGAGTCAGTCTGTAATCTGTCTAGGTATCTACACATCAACAGCCAAAAACACAATCCTACTCATCTACACAAGCTTATGTGACCTATTTCTGCTAGCTTCTGAACATACGATATATTAATCATAAATGACCAAGTGGCTGATGTCTCATAAAACTTCGCCAACAAAACAAAACATCTGCTAACAAATACAGCAATAATACATTCAAAGACATTCAAACAACTTCACAAACAATCGGTAACAAAAAGCAGTACTGCTGACAAATAATAGCAATAACGAATACAACACCCATCAATTTGTACTGCTGACAAATAATAGCAATAACGAATACAACACCCATCAATTAGTACTGCTGACAAATAATAGCAATAACGAATACAACACCCATCAATTAAAGAACTTCATATAGACAATATTACAACAAACAAACACTGACATGCAAACAATACTGTTACCTTACAACACTGACATACAAACAATACTGTTACCTTACAACACTGACATACAAACAATACTGTTACCTTACAACACTGACATACAAACAATACTGTTACCTTACAACACTGACATACAAACAATACTATTACCTTACAACACTGACATGCAAACAATACTGTTACCTTACAACACTGACATACAAACAATACTATTACCTTACAACACTGACATGCAAACAATACTGTTACCTTACAACACTGACATACAAACAATACTGTTACCTTACAACACTGACATACAAACAATACTTCTACCAAACAAAACTGACAAACAAACAATAATTCTACCAAACAACACTGACATAGAAGCATATACTGCTACCAAACAACACTGACATACAAACAATAATTCTACCAAACAACACTGACATAGAAGCCTATACTGCTACCAAACAACACTGACATACAAATAATATACTGCTAGCAAACAACGCTGACAAAGAAAACAAAACTGCTACCAAACAACACTGAAATACAATCAATAATGCTACCATACAACACTGACATACAAACAATACAGCCAACAAACACCACTGACATGTAAATGATACTGCCACCACCAATCAACACTGGCGTGTTAACAATATATTGCTAGCAAACAACACTGACATACAAACGACAATGCTAAAAAATAAAACTGACCTATACACAATATATTGCTAGCAAATAACCCTGACATACAAACAATACTGTTACCGAGCAACCCTGGCATAGCAAACACTACTGCTACCAAACAACACTGACAAACAACACGGCTCCCACACAACACTAACATATAACAATATACTGCTAGCAAACACCACTTACATATCAAACAACACGGACAAACAATCAATAATGCTACATAACAACACTGACGTATAAACAATATATTGCTAGCAAATAACACTGACATAGTAAACAACACGGCTCCCAAACAACACTGACATACAAACAATAAACTGCTACCAAACAACACTTACAGAGTTTACAACACTACTCACAAACAACACTGAAATACAAACAATTCTGCCACCAAACAACACTGACATGCAAACAATACTGCTACCAAACAACACTGACGTCTAAACAATATACTGCTAGCACATAACACTGACATACAAACAATACTGCCACCAAGCAACCCTAGCATAGCAAATATTTATGCTAACAAACAGCACTGCCATACAAACAATATACTTCTAACAAACAACACTGACACAGCAAACAATACTGCTAACAAACAGCACTGACATACAAAAAATACTGCTACCGAACAACAGTGACATAGCAAACAACACTGACATACAAACCCTAGCTGACACATACAAATAATACTGCTACCATACAACACTGACATACAAACAATACTGCTACCAAACAACACTGGCATACAAACAATACTGCTACCATACAACACTGACATACAAATAATACTGCTACAATACAACACTGA